GGGGAGGTCTAGGCCTAGGAATAGGGGCTCTTTGAGTTCTAGGGATAGATCGTGCCTGGGCTGAGATGTACAGAAAGCTGACAGTTGGTCTTGAGGTTGGGGTTGAGATTAGAGGTAGTGAGTTCATACCCAGCACAAAAGAGACAGGGATGAGGTTGGCGTACTGGTCACAGTATATGACTAGCTTCTCGAAGTACGGCCTCTGATTGTCAGTCAGGATAAAGCTGGGTGGGGTGGAGCAGGGAAAGTTAGAGGCAGATCTATCCCTGAGGACCACCTTTCCTCTCAAGCGACCCTCTCTTGTGACCTGAGGCCCTCATCTCTCGGACAGTTTCCACCTCCACTCCACTCCCCCACCCTACCCCTACCCCCTACCCCAGACTCTTGTCCCAAGGTCGGGCCTCACCGGTAGATGGCGCTCAGTGCCAAGTACCCCCCGAGGAAGACCAGCACCTCTCGATAGAGTAGTTTGTAAATGCTTCCCCTCCAAAGCAGCAGCAGCTTGGAGAACCCCCCGAAGCGAGCATTTGCTACGCGGGCTGTGTATGTCACTGTCATTCCGGGGTTCGGACCGGGGCTGAGGGCCGAGAGAAAGGGCAGGTGAGGGCCACTCTGCTGAATAGGTCACTCGGGTCCCTGCCTTGAGTTTCTCCTCTCCAGTGCTCCCCGCCACTGTCAGGATTGCCTTCCCTGCACTTCCAGCGCCCCACGGGTCGCTCCGTAATCCCACCTGAGCCAAGGAGGCAGACAGTGCCCACCCGGCCCTGGCGAGGGCCGTCCCGAAACCCCCCGCCCCGTCCCTTGGGTGCATCTTCCTCGGACCCCGACCTTTTCGGTGTCCTCGGCGCCAAGGTCTCCGTATCTCATCCTCATTCCCTGCTCCCCGGCTTCCAACCCACAGTGAAACTGGCCTCCTCGATGTTCCTCACACTAGACATTCCATCTCTCGATTTGGGGCACTTTCTGCTGTCCCCCATGCTTGGAACTCTCCCCGCCTCACCTCCTCATTTTCTTGTTTTCCTTCAGGTCTCAGCTAAAATCCTGTCTTCCGCAAGATGGCCTTTCCCGCCCCCCCCCCCCCCCCCCATTTAGTGCCTTCCTTCAGTTGATTTTCTCCAGTTTATCTTTTATATATCTTGTTTGCACATAGCTGCTCACATACTGTCTCCCTCCATTTGACTGTAAGCTACTTGAGAACAGGAGTTTTACTTTTCTTTGCATCCCAGGGCTTAACCTAATGCCTGGCTGAATAACAAACGCTTCTTCACTTACTGACTAGGCTCCCGTCCCCAGAACTTGGACTTTCTATGCCCAGCCCCTGGCAAAAACCTCCTAGGGTCCCCAGGACCTATTTTCTCTCCCCAGTCTTCCCGCCCGTCTAGGTTTTCCTGCTTTATCTTCGTTCTTCAATCCCAGGTATCCCGCCCCTTCTGTTTCCGAGCCCCATTTCTCCTTCTGGATTCCTGTTTTCAAAACACCTAGTCCCCGTTCGGCGATCCCACCTTCTTAGTCATTCACCGATTGCCAGGAGTCGCTGAAAGGTAATGCAGTCAGGAAAAAGTCCAGGGCAAGAGAACTGGGTTTCAGAACTGACCTGCCCCAAACTTGCCTATGGAGCGAGGGCGATGCAGCGAAGAGTCCGGAATTTGGCGTCAGAGGACCTGAGTTCTAATTCTGATTCTGCCACTTACTCAACCTGCATGGCATTGAGCAAGTCATTTATCTTCTGTGCGACTCAGTTTACTCTTCTTTAAAGCAAGCGGATTGGACTAGATCACTTCAAAAGTCCCTTCAGTTCTCAATCAATGATCCCAGGTCGCTCTGACCCTCACTGAAGCCTGTTTCCCCGGTCCTACGGGGCGAGAGAAGAGTTAGCTACTAGATATCCAAAACTCTAGTCCGTAACTGACTAGCCTAAAGCCTAACCTGTAGGATACTAGCCTCAAGTGAAGCGTCCCAGGATCCCCAGCTCCCAGTGTCCCCCTTCCCTCCTGTTCTGAAGCCCCCGAGTCTGCACCCCAGCTCACCAGTAGCAGGAACAAGAGCATCAGAGACTGGGGTTAGGAGACAGAAGCGCAGGAGGGACAGGGGCTGTGCCCCAGGCTCGGGACTGGGGAGTGTGAGGGGGGCTCCTCCCTGTACCACCGGCCCCGCCCTTCCCCGCCCCCTTGGCTACTGGGGGAGGGGAAGGAGACACACACACACACACACACACACACACACACACACACTCACTCATTTACCCACCAAGGACACTACCTTCCTCCCCTTTCTTCTCCCCTCCCCACCCCCAGACCTGCGGTCCCAGGGCTCGGACCCTCTGTAACCCCATCTGTCTGCCCCTCCTTGTTGTGACGTCACTAGTAGTCTTTACTTTTGACATTCTTTTGGAGACACCTTCTAGTCCCCCCCACCCCGCCTCAGACTTCACCACACTCCATCCTTGGCGCCTCGTTTGCGACTAAGTTCTAAGGGGTGGTGCGGAAGGCAATTCCTTGGACAGGCCCCCGACTCGTGTCCCAGCTGCTGCAGGAGCCCTGGAAACAATTAGCTCCGCCCTCTTTTGCTCCCCTTCCTCCTTTTTTGATCAGATCACTCAAGGAGTGGAGGGGGCTGAAGCTCGGCTCGCAGTTACCGCTGCGTTCCAGTTCCTACCCACACGAGGGCAGAAAATCACACAATGCAGTAGGTAACTGCGCTCGCGTGCGTACACACACACACACACACACACACACACACACGCAATTTTACAGTCACACACGAAAACCGCAGACACCGCGTCGAGCTCCCCGCTGGAGCCGGGGCCGTCTGCTCACGTCCTGAGTGAAACGCAGCTTTGCTTTTCCAGTGGTTTCTCCCCCTCCGCCCTATCTAGTCTTTAATTAGGTTCCCCCACGATCCCTTGGTTTTTCCATCAATAAACATGGGTGGGAAATTGAATTGTTTCCAGATACACTGGGCGAGAGCTCTCATAACAGAGATTTCAGGATAGCTTATATACTAAGGCACACAGTCAACAAACGGTGTGTACTGGATAGCCGGCCTCGAAGCCTTGAAGATGCAGGTTCAAGTCTCGGTCCTGCCTGAGCCACACCAGCTGCAGGACCCTGGGCGAGTCAAGGAGACAAAGCAGAATTTACGTTACAGGTAAGGTGCTGATCTACATTAAGGGAGAGTTTTCTCACCGGGAAGCTCCTCCTAACAATGAAATCTCAAGACCCGTCCCTGTCCTTATCCTATCAGTGAGATTTACGGAAGGGCAGCCTAGCTTTGACCCTAGGCCAGGATGGCATCATGAACAGCATCTCCTCCCTCAGGTGAGGGAGTTTAAACCCCGAGCCGGGGTTCAGCTTTGAGCCAGGGTGGACGAGACGTCCTGTTCTGGAATCAGGGTGTGCTGTCCTATCTTGAAATCACTAGGGTGTGCGTGTGTGAGCGGGAAGGCACTGCCCACGACATGTGGTGGGGGGCAATTGAGGATCCAGAATGAGCCAGCTTGGGCTCCTTGTAAAGTGGCTGAGCACCCACAAGGAGCAGGCTGGTCTATAAACGCTTCTGCCTCCCCACTGTCCAGCTGCTGCAGAGTTCTTGGGGTGGAGCGCTGCTGGGTGGGGGTGTGTGGCTTAGATGCTCCACCAGCTGCACTTCGGGGCATAAAAGAGGGAGGAGCTCTTTAAGAAAGGCTGTTCCCCCTTCTCCCCACCTGGGCTGACCAACTGGCCAAGCATTGGTCACCCCTGCTGGGGCAGAGTGTTCCAAACAGTAGCACAGACCCCCTCTTTCACCTCTACCTCCTCACTCAAAACTGTCAAAACTGCTAGGTTCGTCTGAGGTCTATCACAAGGCTTTTAACCTTATTTCTGAAGTCACTAACCTCTTGGCCTCAGTTTCTGTTAAATGAAAATAAAAAGTTTGCAGAAAAGTCATGCACAACGTACACAACTTCATGGGATATTATGCCCTGGTTAGATCCCTCTGTGTCCACTTCGATATCACTCATCACCAGGGCCCAGTAGGCTAAAGAAAACAATTGTTAACCACAGCAAAGTACCCCAGCTGAAGTGTTCCTTCCATTAGGGATTTCAGGACTTCTGGATTCTGAGTGTATATCCTCCCCTCCCCCAGTTGGGGAGCCGGCAGAGTGTGAGGGCACAAGCCCAGGCTGTTTAGGGTCCTTTGCCCACTGATTCCTCTGTCTAGCACTATTTCTGGACTTCCTAGGGTTGAGCCTCCTGGAGGCTGCTCTCCTTCTTTGAGGGGTAAGGACCCTAAAGGATTAGATTGGTTTCTGGTCATGGAGGGCTCTTTGTTTTCCTGTGTGAGATTGAGACATCAAACCTGTCTCAGGCAGTGTTCTGCCCTGAACAGAGGCTGCTCAGCTCAGGTGTAGATACATAGCTGGAGAGGTACATCTCCAGACTTGGGTTTCAAGGTGGGGGTGGGGGGTGAAGGGCATACCACAGCTGCTAATCCCCTGGCTGAGACCAGGGCCCAATCTCCCCTTCCAAGAAAGGTGGGGCCAGCCCTCACCTCAGGCGGTTGTTAATTCCCTAACCAAACAGCTGGCACTGCCTGGCCCCCAGCAGAGCCAGCTAATCCTGCTCCTGTGTCCTGTGGTGCTCAGCTATCCCTGTGCTTATAGCATACAGAAACGGCCACCCCATTCCCATGCCCCTTGACCCTTCTCATGTTGAGGCTGGAAGGAGGGAGAGAGGGAGAGAAGGAGAGAGAGAAGGAGGGGGGGGGGGGGGGGGGAGAGAGAGAGAGCGCACTCGAGTGAGTGGGTATGGGGTTGGGCTTGGGGGGTGGCATCAAAAATTAGTTGGTTCCTAGCCAAAGGTGCTGGAGGAAAGGGGAGGGGTTCCATTCAATTCCCAGGGACAAGGCAGGTCCTCTCTCTGCCAGGGAGGGACTGGGAACATTGTAGGCTGCCCTGCCCAGCTAAGGGGCCTCAGCCCAATTTTTCCCACTGTCTGTCACCTCTTTGTCCCTTCCTTTCCATTCCCACAGTTACCACCTCTTTTTTTCCTTCTTATTTTGAACTTCGTCAACAACCAACAACAATTTCTCCCCATCTCCACTGTTAAGCCCACCTGTTTGTTCTCTACAGGCCTTCACTCTTAAAAGAGGTGTCTTAGGATTCACAGTATGCTTTCCTCACAAAAACCCTTCTCGGGTATTATTGGGAGAGGGAGCACAGTGGGCTGACTGCTAAGAGTGGCGGCCTGGGAACCAGAAGCACCTGGGTTCAAATTCTGCCATTTAGCCTCTTGGACTGTGCGATGTGTGTAACATCACGAGAGTGCCGGGAATCAGATGATGTCTGTAAAGTGCCCAGTTTACAAACGAGGAAACCAAGACTTGAGGTGACTGTTTCCTGGTCACAGGGCCAGCAAACAGGTGGCATTCAGATTTGGGCCCACTCTGAAATGCTAAGATTCTGCCCTTCCAACTGTGTCTCCTACACTTCCTTGTCCATAGTGGGACAGCCTCCAGTAATCTGTGCCCATTTACCTGAACCTCTGTCTCTACTGCCTCCCTCCACCCCAACCAAGCAG